AATTACCAAATTTATCATTACAATACAATTCCTTGCTTACGTAATAATTGGTGTAGTTTGCGGGTATTATATAATTGAGAGTATTGGTTGTATTACGTGGATTAGACATAAAATAATATCTATAGACATTAAAAAACTATAAAAAAGGAATAACTTACAAACCGTAGAAGTACTGTATATATTCGTGTTAAGTATAATCTTCCCAAACTTGCAAGAAATCCTGAATTAAGCCATTAAATCCTCCAGTTATATATTTCAGCAACTAATGATGGATCCCTGAAAATAATAAGAACCAAATTAATCAACTAATTACTGATATGTTTCTATTTAATCCCTCTTATCTACGTTACTTCACTGCCATTATTAAATACCAACTCACACTACAAAAACTAAAATGATCATTATTTATCTTTCTACCGTACCTGAACACGATATTGTAGATTTGGGATGAAGAATAAATTATCCCCTTTCTTGCTGGTAGTTTATATCCACTCCAGGAGATGTTAATTGTGTATATTTCTCGTTTTTATGGATTTTCAAGGAGCCCCGTGTGACATCGCCTCCGCCATGCTGGATTTATTACGTCGACATTCAACATTTAATAATTTCTATTTGTCATTATTCATTGTTACTCTTAATAATTTTCATTTTAAGAATGTTTTAATATTATTCTTTTTATATTGCGTTATCTTATTGTATAATATAATATAATATAATATAATATAATATATTATACAATAGTAAAATATTATTTTTGCTATCTTAAATCGAATTTTCGTTTTAAAAATTATTCAATATTATTTTTATTGTCGTTATTCATGTGTACAATATATTAATTTGAAATCCTTTCGGCTTTAGTAGTTATTTATTATTATTGAGTCTACATTATTATTTATTTTTATAATATAGAATAAAAACGAACCATTTATTAAGTTCTTTAGAATTGAAATGGCTCCAGTGTGTCGGAATCTCACCTTTTTTTTTTTACGGGAATGAGCTCACCCGGGCGCAGGTCAACAGGTCAAACGACCCACAACGGGGCCTGGGGGGGGGGAACAAAACAAAACATACTAACCTGACTTTCCTAACCTAACCAAACGATCTTAAACGACTTTATACATAATTTACGTAAGATATATGTTAATATGGGTTTGGTTGCTTTATTTTTACTATGATATAAAGGAGTTTGGAATTCTCACGGAAGGAAAATTACACGAATCAAGATTATATCATCATTAACCCTGGGTGGATTTTAGCTGTTTTAAAGGTAAGAAATACATTTTTCTTCCGTGTAAGTTTAAAATATATAATTCACTTGCACCAAAACAGTATAATAAAAGATATAATTACATTAAACCCGTAATTATGCCTGTGTACCTGTCATTATGCCTGTGTACCTGTATCTGTAATCATACCCATATTTACCTGTATAAGGAATTAAGAGCGCTGAAATTACATTAAAGCTGTATGCGTTCTCTCTCCCTCTACTCTCACTCTCTCTCGGTGGTAATACTTTACGCAGGGAACCAACCTTTTGAGAGTCTGGACCCAGGAACCATTATTCGCGCCACCATCCAAGAAATAGCGTACTCACAAGGCTTTATCAAGATTCTGAATAAATATCTTTTAGAGAAGAACAGGTGACCCATATACGCATATGTAGTGTAGTAAATGCGTGCGTATATAATAGATTTGACAGAGCGTGACGCGTACATCTGCCGTTGTCAGCTGAAGCACACAACATCAACACCCAAGCGTCGCGTCATTCATGTGTGGGGTGGAAAAGAGAGTTTTTTCCTCTTGTACGATATAAGAAAGGTAATAATGATAAAGGAAAGGGGAGGAGGTTGTCTGTCATTATACACACACAACTTACTTATCCACCTGTTCAAGTGTACAGGTAACAAACATGTTTATTACCTTCACTTGTCACTTAACCACTTAGATAAAGACACATATACACTTACAGGTACATAAACAGTACATGAGGCTCATCCATTAAGGAAGGAAAGTTAATATGTGAATTTTTGAGAGTCAGTTTATGGGCCGAAGTTTAACTGGGTCAGATAGATACATACTTCGCTGTTTGGGGGGAAAGTTTAATGTAGGAATCTTGGAGAATTTATCTTCGTGTACATATCTTGAGGAACACACACCCGGAATGTAAGTAATGGTACTATACTACTCCGCGTGTCTTGTGACGAGAAACCAGAATGATAATTACTTCTTCAAGACGACAGAAAAGCATCGTGATGATTTCCCTTCAACTATCTCCGAAGATTTAGAAAACTATTGCGTGATTATGTGTCTGTCTGTCTGTTTCTCTTGTGGGTTATAGAACACTGCCTTCTGTGTTTCTTAGCCCTGGAGGAGGAGGAAGGAGAGGACTCATAAATGGTAGCCTAGTCCACTGAGAGGCTTTGGAAGGGTGAAATTTTAAGGTCTTCTTTCATATGTAAACTCCAGTGCGATTCTGTTTGTTTCATTCTATCTTGCTTTATCTTACACACACACACACACCTGGTCAATTGTGGGCTAGTTATCTCACGCACCCAGTTTGTTTATCTACATCAGCTATTGAAACGTCAATTCATATATAGAATCTTTGTTTTGAAAATGTCGTCTATTATATTGCTGAATTATCATTTTATTATGTTTTATTAATTCTTCGACGACTGTTTATTATTATTATTATTATTATAATTATTTTTATTATAATTGCTGTTGTTGCTTATCTGCTGTTTATCCACTTACGTATTATTGTACTCAGTTGAGTGTCCTTACTTGGAGCTGGCAGAAGCTCGCCCCACAAGGGGTCACAGCTCAAGATTGAAGAAGCTGCAAGTCCAGAAAACTGTGAGGGCAAACTTTATCAGAGTGAGGGTTGTAAAATCTTGGAACAATCTACCAGAGAGTGTGAGCTCTTTCAAGACAAGATTTAACCAACACTGGAGCGGATTCAGGTACATTCAGGAGCCGGTGCATGCCCAGTATTTGCCAACAGTGCGTGACAGACGTGACCGATCGCCCGGGCGGCTAACGAGCCGATCTTTTGGTGAAGAAGATAAATGAAAAGGAAAAGTAATCAGAGACGTGACCGATCGCCCAAGCGGCAAACGAGCCGATCAGTGGCGAAGAGGATAAAAGTAAAAGTAAAGTCTCCTTTGTGTACCTGTCACCTTGGTAACCTGTCTCCTGAGTAACTGGTCTGTTTATCGTCACCACAGTCATTAAGGGGACCATCGACTCATCACCTCATCAACTTTCATCCTGACTACGTTTGGCAATAATTACCTCCTCTCGGGTAATGGGGAAACACCTGAGCTATTAGACTGTTTAGGTTTGCATGGTTAATTTAGTCACCCCTTGAATCTGGATGAATCGCTTTCTATTAATGGTTTTGTGGGGTTTTGGGTAATATTTTCGTTATCATTATCGTGTAAAAAACAGTTAGAGATAATAATAACAAAGTGACCAATGTAAGTATCTCTCACCAACTCTCAGCATCTCGTATTGTGTGTGTGTGTGTGTGTGTGTGTGTGTGTGTGTGTCGTCAGTGACCAATCAGTGTTGACATCGCTCCGTGTATGCCTAAGACGCAAGGACTTGACTCAATCCTGGTGACCGTTGTTGGTAACACTGTGGTCTGCCACTGTTCACCTTGCTATTGTATTCACCACTGATAACTACTACTACTACATTTTTTTTAAACGTGGCCTCCAGCCTCCCCCAATAGCCACACCTTCGCCGCCATTTTATTACCTTAAAATTAAATATCCTAATACATAAGTAGCTACCCTAGCGCTGTTGAGTTAGATGAGCTGCGGATCTATGCGGCATTCAGTGACTGTTGCCTCATAGTCAATATCTACAACTGTTGTTGGCTTTGGGCCGATGCTCTCGTTCCCCTGATTGTGGTTGAACATATTGCTATCTATTGATCATGATGGACCACCACCATAAACCATCACCATCACCACCATTGCTACCACCATCGCCATTACCATTGTCGGTGTCATTATCTGCATAGTTGCTATCTACTAAAAATAAACCTTTCAGTCTTTAGCACGTATATACGTACAATGGATATCACACACACACACACACACACACACAGGTGACAGTTTTTTGTCCATTTAATGTTAAGGATTTAAGTGGCGTCTCACCATTGTTGACTGAAGGAAGTGTGGATTACCATCACCTGTTCTCTCTCTCTACTGTCTCCACCTTTCACTCTCTCTCTCTCTCCCTGACCTTACTTATATACTTAGCTCACAAACCTCAAACAACAAACCTGACTCACAAACCTGCGTCACAAATGTTCCTAAACCTTTTCTTCACAAATTTGAGTCCATCCATGTACTTGCCTCATAAACCTGACTCACAGAACTGACACACTCCTGACACACAGACCTAACTCACAAACCGGACTCATAAACCTTATTCTAGAAACCTACTTCACACACCTGACTCATTTTAAGTTGCTAAGGGATCTCATTAATTAACTTGTGAGGTGCAGGTGTTTTATGAGGCCTGGTGGGTGGTACTGGGTAATATAGCTTGTGTAATTCTCTCTCTCTCTCTCTCTCTCTCTGCTGTCTCCACCTCTCTCTCTCTCTCTCTCTCTCTCTCTCTCTCTCTCTCCCTCTCTCCCAGCTCACCACAATGTCTCCTTGTATCACCAGGTGTTGTGCCAATAAGTATAGCAATAGATATATTACATGTAGTCACAGCGGTTGGTTACTCTTCTTTACATCATCCACTTTTACAACCTAACCTAACTTAACCTAATCTAGCATAACCTAACCTAACATAACATAACCTACTGAAGAAGAAGAAGAAGAAGAAGAAGAAGAAGGAGGAAAAAAGGACTTTCCAGTGAACATCGAAGAAGGAACAAGAAAAAGGACCTTCCAGCGAAGCGTCGAAGGAAAGAGAAAGTGACTTCGGGTTGGGTGAGCGGAGTGAGCCTGACTCGGAGGGGGCGGCGGCTTGTGAGAGCTCTGATGGCTCATTCGTGTTCACATCGTCGTCACGGCAACACGTCCTCAAGCCCTTCCTCCCTCCTGCTGTTGCTGTTGTATCGGGAGTCCTACATCGGTGGATTGTCTTACGTCCTATACTGTTAAGTCCTAACATCGAGGCGTCTCTCTACTGTACTACAAGCATCCTACATCGGTCGAAGTCCTTTTAGCATCTTACAACAGAAATTCTTCAAGAGATCCTATACCGGTACTGAAAATCCAACTCGTGTCCTGTAGAACCATAACAACACTGAGGCAATCATGATATTACTGAGAGTGTTCTGGGCTTGACAACTTGACGTTAACAATCAATGTTTAGTGACTAAGACACGTGAGGCTCGTGAGGACAGTCTACACGGTTGAGCATCATGCGTCTCCTGCCATTGTTGCTGTTGGTGTGTGTGGTGGGCGTGGCCAGCAGCCTCAACTTCAATATCTTCAGATGGCCTTCCTTCAACCGCCATAGGAGTGTTAAGGGCGGTGGTGGCGGCTATGGTGGCGGTGGTGGCGGTTATGGTGGCGGTGGTGGAGGAGGCTATGGTGGCACTGGCAACAGAAAGCCCAACCCCCTGAGGAGTCTACAGAGGCTCAAAGCCCAGGCGTTCACCGGTCTGAGGAACCTTAAGGCTCCCATCATCGACGGTATCCGCAACCTCAAGGGTCAGGTGCTCGAGCTGAAGGGCAACTTGTTCAGTAAGGCGACCAACCTCTTCAACAAGGGCAAAGGCGGCGGCGGCGAGTCCAGTTACCACCGCCGGCCGCCCTCACATTATGGCGGCAGTAGTGGCGGCGGAGGAGGCTATGGCGGAGGCGGTGGTGGCGGCGGCGGAGGAGGGTACAGTGGAGGTGGTGGTGGTCATACTGGCGGTCATGGCGGAGGCGGTGGAAGCTATGGTGGAGGAGGCGTTAGTGGAGGCCATGGCGGAGGCGGAGACCATAGTGGAAGCCATGGTGGCGGTCATGGAGGAGGAGGAGACCATAGTGGAAGCCATGGAGGAGGAGGAGGCCATAGTGGCGGCCATGGAGGAGGAGGCCATAGTGGCGGCCATGGAGGAGGAGGCCATAGTGGCGGCCATGGAGGAGGAGTAGTGGCGGCCATGGAGGAGGAGGAGGAGGCGGCGGAGGAAGCTACGGTGGAGACGGCGGCAGTAACAACGGCTTCATCCAGGTGTCCCAACAGTCACCGTCACAAGGGTACGGCGCTCCTCCTGCCCCGGCCTCCAACTACGGAGCGCCTACTGCAGGTAAAGGCTTCACTGGTTTCTCTGCACCGCCAGCGCCCTCCACCGGTTACAAAGCGCCAGCGGCATCAACAACTGGCTCCGCTGCTCCAGGTTCCTCCTTCAAGGGTTTTACTCCAGTAGCTGCCCCGCCCTCTAGTGGGTATAGTGCCCCTGGCCCAGCGCCCTCACCTAGTGGGTATAGTGCCCCTGGCCCAGCGCCCTCACTTAGTGGGTATAGTGCCCCTGGCCCAGCGCCCTCACCTAGTGGGTATAGTGCCCCTGGCCCAGCGCCCTCACCTAGTGGGTATAGTGCCCCTCGACCAGCGCCCTCACCTAGTGGGCATAGTGCCACTGGTCCAGCGCCCTCACCTAGTGGATACAGTGCCCCTGGCCCAGTGCCCTCACCTAGTGGGTATAGTGCCCCTCGACCAGCTGCCTCACCATCTGGTCCCGCTGCCCCACCACCTAGTAGTTATAGTGCCCTTGGTCCAGCACCTTCACCTAGTGGGTACACGGCACCTACTAGCGGCTCAGGAGGACAACAGGCTTCTGCCACAGGGTACCGCGCCCCTGCTTCTACTGGCACCAGTTTCGGGAGAGCCCCAGCATCTGTCAGTTCGTACAGCGGGAGCGTCAGTAGGCCTCTACGGAACTCCTTCCCCACGGGTCCGACAGGGTCAACAGGGAGCAGCTATAGCGAGCAGCAGCAACAGACACACATCAACGCTCCTCTCTCAGCCGCCATGGCCATGGGTCACTTGTTGAACGAGGACGAAGTGGTGAAGACTACGGGGGAGACACCATGGCGCCCTCTGACGGGAACGAGAGGTGCTGCGCCCTCCATCAGCGCTCTCCCTTCCTCAAACGTTGACCAGACCGCTAATGTACCGAGTCCTGCTATCAGGACCGTCGGCTCTACCGAGGAACCTCTGTTTATCAACCTGGACGACGCCCTACAGGTAGATACTGTCACTACCGGCAACAACAACATCCAACAGTCGAGTGAACTGCTCCTGGCTGATCCTGTCACCACCGACGACGGCGACACTTACCTCATATCTGCCACGGAGGAGTATGACGACTTCCTGTTGGTGGATCAAGGGAGCCCTGACGCCGCGGCCAAGGCCCTGGCTAAGGTGGCGGACGCTGCCCTCATCATCGAGGACGAGCCACAAGGTCGTTCAATCAGCGGGAGTCGCCCTCAGGAGAACGTCCTGTCGGTGGGACAGACGGACAGCAACACTGTTACACTGATTGACGGCCGAGGATCAGACGACCTACAGTCCGGGCAGGAGTCCAACATGATGTTTGCAGCGCTCATGGAGGAGCTCAACCTCACCACCCTCACGGCGCTCATACGGAGGGCCAACCTGGAGGCCATGCTCACCACGGAAGGTAAGTCACCGGGGTGGACCAGTAGTCTCTACCGGGATGCTGGTGTATCACATACACTACTACCTGGGGTCTACTGCACGTTACTGGGATGCTCTCGTCTCACACAGTAGGTACTGGTTACTGGTGATGGTCACTGGTCTCTTATTGTTACTACCAGCATCTTCCAGGTCACTGCTGCTCATGTGTGTGCGTGTGTGAGTGTGTGTGTGTGTGTGTGGAAAATGACGAAGGTTAGTTTATATAAATTGAGGTGTAGTGGAGAGAAGGCACGCACCTCTCTCTCTCTCTCTCTGAATAACCACACACACACCACACTAGGTAGTTCACCCCTATCGTACACACTCACCAAATATCTAGTGATTCTACAGCTGCTCACTAGGGGGGTGACGATCCATCAAAACAAACACACTTGAACCACCCAAAGAAAAACATCACATTAACAGGACTCTTGGCGGTGTTTAGTAAGACACTGTAGACAGACTTGAGGAGGTGTGTTAGGGTAAGGTTGAGATGAGGATGAGTGTGTGGATTGTGAAGTGTGAGGATGAGTGTGTGGATTGTGAAGTGTTGTTGTGCCTGCGGGTGATGGGGGGGGGGGGAGCCACGTGAGGTAAATACTGAGACTTGTTGTTGTTGTTGTTCTGGATAAAGTACCGTTGATTGGTTAGGTTATGTTTGATTAGGTTAGGGTATGTTAGGTTAGGTTTGGTTAAATTAGGTTTCGCTAGGTATTGCTATGTTAGGTTTGATTAGGTTAGGTTGTGGACCAATAGACTGGGTATTATCAACACAATAATCCTTACAATTCCGTATTAATTCCATCTTGTTAATTACACTGTCAGATTAACGCTTTATATAACTTTCTCCTGACAGTTAAATGGAATATATCCAATTGTGGTTTTCGGTAATCAGATACTTCTTGCCACCAAATGACTCATGACGTCATAGGCGTGATGCAATTAGCACCATCTGTCGCAGGCAATTCTTACTAGATGAAAGCTCCTTTATAATATTTATACTGTATATACTTTTCACACTTGCCAGGTGATTCTGGTGTCATTGTACAGGGGTACCTAGTGACAGCACTAGGATCCCGCTTCCTCTATCAAGGAATAAACAATTGAAATTGAAATTGAATTGATGAAAGTTCGGTTCGGTTAACGTTGTTGCGAAGACTTAGGAGGTAAATTTTCTTCGTTTCACTATTGATAAACATTTTTTAAAGCAGTTTACTTGGGAGACTCAGTAACCTAACTTAACTTAATCTGTCTTTCTCTGTCTCTATCACTTACAGTACACACACACACACACACACCTGTTCCTTGTTATTTCTGGCGGGCGTAAATTACTTCTAATGTTGAGTGAAAGTTTTGTGTAGCGTTCCACTGTCACTCTCCCTGGCACTACACCGCTGATTATGAGTTTTCATCCAGGTGCTTTACTGTCATGAACTAGAGAGAGAGAGAGAGAGAGAGAGAGAGAGAGAGAGAGAGAGAGAGAGAGAGAGAGAGTGTGTGTGTGTGTGTGTGTGTGTGTGTGTGTGTGTGTGAGTGTATATATATGTGTGTGTGTGTGTGTGTGTGTCAGAGAGAAAGATTAAGTTAGGTAAGGTTAACTCAGGTTAGGTTAGGCTAGGTTAGGTCAGGTTAGGATCTAATAGCACTAAGTCCCCCGTTACCCATCTAATGAACTCGAATCATTTGTAAACAAAGTCACTTTTACGTAACCTACCTTTAGTGACCTTAGTACATACCCGAGTCTCCACCCATCCCCTGCCCCTTACCAGTAACACCTCTTCGTCTATTTCCGGTTTACGTAAAAAAGACCGTGATTTCATTGTCTGTCTGTGTGTGTCTTTGTGGTGTAACTGTGAACCAATGAGGGGAGGGGATATGAGGTTAGAATTACGCACTTATTGTGATTTTTTAGCGTCGGGAAGAGTGAGTTGGGTTTTCTGTGATGGCGTGATGGCGGGTGATCTGTTTCTGGTAAGTTAGGTTATGTATGTTTTGGGGAGGGAGTTGTAACGCGTTGAGTGATGAGAGAGAGAGAGAGAGAGAGAGAGAGAGAGAGAGAGAGAGAGAGAGAGAGACTATATTACCTGCAGATACGTTCTTTTCTTCCTATTAAATACTAAGAGAAAAAACATAATCTGGGTCAATTTGGTGTCGAAATACACTGAGACTCTATCGTATGTATTTTGAGTTCTCTTCCTCCCAGTAAAGGGGGGAGGAGGAGGGAGTGAGGGGTGTGAGGGGGGAAGGGAAGCAATATGGCGGGAAGTGAGGGGGGGGGGGCGTATAATTGCGTCAAGCAGATTGTCCATAGTACCTACTTTCCCTTTAGCTTGCAAAACAGTATTTGCTACTCTTCCTCCTCCCCTTCTTTTCCTTCTCCTCCTCTTCTTCTTCTTCTTCTTCTTCTTCTTCTTCTTATTATTATTATTATTATTATTATTATTATTATTATTATTATTATTATTATTATTATTATTATTATTATTATCATTATCATTATTATTATTATTATTATTATTATTATTATTATTATTATTATTACTGCTGCTGAAAGCCACGTTTTAAAAATAAGTAGTAGTAGCAGTAGTAATAGTCGTAGTAGAGCACCCTGAACAAAACAACATTAGTATAAAGGTAACGACGTTCTACATGAAACTATAATAAGTTTGGGTTGACAAGATTACCTGTAAACACACCTGCACTGTATACACAAACACCCATTAAGGTGAGGGAGCCAAGTGAAGGTGACCCAAGTGAAAATGGTGACTGTGAATGTGATGGTGACAGGACCACTTAAGTAACTTGTATTAGGCAATGTCTTATACTTATAGACGAATAGCACTTTACACTTATAGACATATCACTTTACACTTTATTAAGTACGAAGGTCAGAGATGGTTCAGATGCCTTGAATGTTTACAATGGGTAAGTATTTTTTCTCCAATGTCTTAAGGATGTCCTCTCTCTCTCTCTCTCTCTCTCTCTGTATGTGATGCATGTTTATGACAGCTTTCTCACATGCGTATAAGACAGTGATCGGCTGTCAAATATCCGCCTCTATCACGCGTGCCACTGACATGATATCTAGGTGATTATGTCGTCCAATTACTGTGTACTATTTTCACACTTTCTTTGTCAAGCAGCGGAGGGAAGGAGGGGGGGGAGAGATGGAGGAAAAGAGGGGAAGGGGAGAGGAGGGAGGGACGCACGGACGGAGGGGGAGGAGGGAGGGCGCTGTTTTTTTCCGGCTAGTTGCTCTTATATGGGTCGCATGAGTAAGTGGGGCGGTCAGTGGTGTGTGTGTGTGTGTGTGTGTGTGTGTGTGTGTGTGTGTGTGTGTGTGTGTGTGTGTGTGTGTGTGTGTGTGTGTGTGTAATGTGCGACAGTGACCCCTAACTTTCGACAGGTGGAGGAAGATCTTATGGGAGAAAATATTATGTGGTGATAGCTGAGTAATTATTGTCACGTACAGGTAGTTACACTTAGGGATAGATAGATAGATAGATAGATAGATAGATAGATAGATAGATAGATAGAGAGAGAGAGAGAGAGAGAGAGAGAGAGAGAGAGAGTTAGATTGTGTTAGGTTAGGTTAAGTTAGGTTAATATAGGTTAGATTAGAGTAGATTAGATTAGAGGGGGCTAACCTTCAGATGATCCACCTTAACCCCCCCCACCCCCACCCACCCCCCGATCCAGCAGTGAGTGAGTGTCATGGTGATCAAACAGATGAAATAATGACTTAATTACAGTTGAGTTTGCTTGTTCTACTTAATGGTCCGCTATTATTGGTAGTTCACTGTAATTGGTCGTTTAAGAGGCGGCCTGATTGGGTCCTCTTATAAGAATACGGTCCGATTAAACACTGTAATGAACTAAATTGAGTGAAATTAGACCGTGAAAGACTGAATTATGCAGAAATGGACATGACTGATAGACTTGCTGACATGACTGAGTGACATACCTGTTGACTGATTGTATTTACACTTATATTGACTGACTTATTAACATTTACTGACCTACTGACTGATGATTGACATTTCTTAATACTGACTAGCTGACTGGGCTTCATGTTTACAGGGGGTCCAGTGAGAGTAGAGCTTTACTGAACCACACTACAACCCATGCTTAGCTATTGACTGTACTGTAAGTGACCGCAGAGACACGCAATACTTACTGGAAAGTGACCGACAGTATGGTGGTGTTGCGTGGCCCCAGGTAGAAGCCTGTCAGTGATCAGTTAATACACACACACACACACACATACAAAGACCCAGACACACATACGATTATATTACACACACACACACACACACACACACCATCAGACAGCTGTGTTGTGGCCCCGCTAGGCCTATATAATGTTGCAGAAATGTATCATAGACAAAACGACAACAGGTGACATACAGACCTTCACACGGATGTTATTTATTTCCCACCAGCCCTCCACCATCACCATCTGCCTGTCTATCTCTGTCGTATTGTATGTCTGTCTCTCGTCCCGTCTCATCCTCCTGTGCCAGGTGACAGGACCGTCTTCGCACGCCTCTGTTAGTTAACTGTGGGAGAGTTATTTATTAACCTCTTTGTTAGACAGGAGAAGGAAAGTGAGGGGAAAAGGAGGGAGAGTGGAAGAGGAGAGGAAACTTGAGAGAGAGAGGGAGAGAAAAAGAGAAAACGAGAGAAAGAAAGAGAAGGAAAAATGATGAAGAGAGGGAGAAAACTGAGGGAGAGGGAATGATGAACCACAGATGGTCTAACACACACACACACACACACACACACAGAGAGCAGGTGAAGGGAGTACAGGTATACCAATTATTATCATGGGGGTACAAGATGTCAACCTAACAGCTACTTAACTAACTTAACTCCACATTTTGTAAGATTACCTCCTAAACCCCCCCCTCCTCACCCTCCCATGGATGAAAGTTACACCTCCCTCTCCTCCTCCTCCTTACGACATAGTTCATCCCTTTCTCC